AATAACTTTAGACTTTAACACATGCTCTGATTGGCCGGGATCGGATCAGGACGTCCGTAGTTTACGACACCAGGAGTTGAAACTCAGATCGATCCAATAAATTCCCGTACGAGAGTAAAACGGTGTCGTAAAGGGGCAGAAATCTCAGAGTCCGCCGGCTTTTGGGGGAAAGTGTTTGCATCAGAACGCATGCTGTCAAAAGAATTCACCACAATTACTTTGACCTGCTTTTAACCTTTTTTTTTTCCTCTCCTCTTTTTCCCTCACTGGCAGAATGGAGAAAAAATAAATCCGGAAAAATCAAAAGAAGACACGACGATCTTTTTGTTTTGTTTGTCTGTTTTGTTTTTTCATCAATATCGGGCCGTTAAAAAGGAAAATTTGTGGACGTCCAAGAACCCAAACGGCTTTTTCCACCTGCAGTTTCTGTGTTTTTAAACTGGAGGAAACTGAGATACCGGATAAACAAAAACCCCCACAGGACACAAACGCACTGATGGCTGCACTTCATCTTCCTGTAAGATTCGTTCTGTGTTTTTTCTGAGGGAGCTGAGATTATGTTTGTGGTTCCTGGATGAGGTTTGGGTTTTGTCCACCCCTTTTTTGTACATTCCTCTTTGTCTGCGCCCGTTTCTCATCTCAGAAAAAGCCCCGTGTTTCCTTCTGATCGTAATAATTCTACCAATGCGTTTCCCTGTTTGGCCTCTTTGATACGAATAATCTGAGAGAAAAAAAACATTGATTTGGAAAAAAAAAAAGTGATGTTTCAGGATGTTTTTTGTTGTTTTTGTAATGGAAAAGGGGGGAATAAAGAAGTCGAGGTGGATCTAAATTTGTCTGTCTTCATTTACAGAAAGTAAAAAATAAACTGTGAGCTTTTTGTTAAAACGTGAAGAGAAAAGCTCATTTCTGGATTCATGTCAGAAAAAGTGAGACACAATATCTCTGAGATTCTGTCAGATAAAGCATGTTTTGTCCTAATTTAACGGGACAAAATGGCTTGATTCTGTTTTTAACAATGTTATATTTCAGGTTAAGAGTCTGAGTGTCATCTTTGACACCACCAGGACCTTTTATGCCAGAGGGTTCTGGGTTGGAGTCCCTAGAGGAACCAGGACCAGAGGGTTCTGGGTTGGAGTCCCGGGGGAACCAGGACCAGAGGGTTCTGGGTTGGAGTCCCCGGGGGAACCAGGACCAGAGGGTTCTGGGTTGGAGTCCCGGGGGA